ATTCAACATTCTCTTCTGTCAAGTCAACTTCAGCATATGCCTCGTTTCTATTTTTAAGAGCAAGTAACATTGGAACCAGCATAGCCACATCTCTATCACTCCAATACCCAAATAGAATACTCAAGACTCCCCTTCAAAAGCAAAACATAGAGTACATTTCAATAACGATGACAATTGTCTTAATGGACAAAATGAATCTTTAAACCTAACGAGAAAAGGGTCAAATAAGGCCTTCTACTATCATGAAATCGTCACATAAGGCCGTGTACTCAATAAAGATTCATATACATACGTCTACTTATAAAAAGCAATCAGATAAGTCCTAATGACTTGTTGACAACCTCTTAATCCTGATTTTAGCTTACGTGTCGATATCTTTGCCTTGTATTTAAGCCGGTCTTAGCTAAATATTCAACGGCTGCCTTATAATCTATTCTAAAAAGATGGTCCAACGTACGCTAAAACCGGGATTAGGAGGTTGTCAACCGGTCGTTAGAACTCATCTGATTAGTTTTTATAAGTAGATGTATTTATATGACACTTTATTGAGTACATAGCCTTATGTGACGATTTCATAATAGTAGAAGGCCTTATTTGACCCTTTTTCCAACCTAACCTAATAAATTATCAATTACAACCCACATGTTAGAAACCTGCAATTCTAGTCTAACAGATCACAGAATTGATTCAAGAACTCAAGGCAACTTTTATTACTTAGGCAACAATGAGCCGAAGCCCCCCAAAAGATAGAGCCAATGCTCTGATCCTCCCAGTACAGACTAATGTCTAAAAACAGCCTACTCTTCTTATCAGCTTTCTTCTATTTATAGACCAACAGCTCAACTAACTATAGTTAATAGCTAATAACAGAAAACGCTATTAACCAACTATTCTATTTATTATTATTTCTGAGTAGGTCCCTAACAATACTCCCCCCCTAAACATCCACCTTGCCCTCAAGGTGGGTGGTAGGAGACAGCACAGATCTTCTGCTTCTTCTTCCTTGCTCCTCTTCCTTCCCAATACATAACTGCTTGCTGGACTAGAAGCTTTGGTATTTGTTCCTTCAAATTCACTTCAATTTCATTTGTTGCAGTAGCCTCCAAGCATTCACTAGCTGCAATTGTTTCCTTGTTTTCATCTTCAAGGATTCTCACTTCTGGAGCTATCAATGTGCTGGATGCATATTCGATGTTATTCAAGTTACTCAACTCATTGTCTGCAACAAGCCCTATGCAAATTCCTCCATTTACAATCCACTCTGTCAGGCAGTTAGTATCCATGATAGAATCATTTGTAGTAGCAGAATTTGTCTTGTACAACTTCAACAGCCAACATAAGTTGTGCACAACAATGCTACCATGCGATGTCAGATTTTCTATCTGCCAAGGACCCCAGTCTGGCCAATCTTCTTCTTTACTTTCCCTTATAAGAGAGCCAAAAACTCTTGCAGCCATAGAACGAACTTCAGGAACCACAACAAACTCCCTTATGTTATAAACCTGTCCTTCAACATTGCTGTCAAGAGCAAACTTATCTGTCCATTCCAATCCAAAATCTGAGGAACTCCAAGATATAAGCTTGACAAGCTGGCGTTTAAAAAGACAGCATTCTTGACTAAATGAAACATCAGTTGAAATACAAAATAACTGCTCATAGGTATCTATTTCCCTGTCATCCTTAGCTTTGTTTTTGGAAAGAAATTCAGTCAATTGCTCTAGAAACGAATAGACACACCACTTGCACATTGTACAATGATACAAATTCTGTCAGCAGTATTAATTTTACCCTTTATTATCATCCCAGGATTGACCTCAGAATGAGTGAAAATTGATCCTTCAATTGCACTAGTCTGTGGCTCATTATTCACCAATTGCATTCCTAACGCATCCCAGAATAACTCAAAGCCTTCATCCACCAGATTTTGGTCCTGACTTTGAGTATAAGCAGCCCACTTCTCCCTCCATGGAAATGATGAGTATTCGGTTTCAGCACGAGCAAACACTCCTGTCCTTTTTGACTTATCCGCTTTAGTGACTTCCTCCTCCTGCTCCTTCAATTCTGACATCTTCAACTCAGTGTTCATCATTGGCGATAAAGCTCCATGTGACCCATTTTCGTATTCAGCTTGGTCTTCGGCTATCAAAATTGATGAAGTTTGCTCATGGTAAGGAACTGCTAGCGTCGACAACTGCGAACTGATAGGGGCAGAATCTGCGAACGATAAAGATGAAAAGACCTGTGAACAAGGTGAATGGACTAGTGAGGAGGAATCTTCCCCTCCCAATCGCATCTTTCTTGGACACAACTTGATTGCGGATGAGTAAGTTTGCGAACTGAGGGAGACCTTTCGCAACTGCAAACCAGAAGAAACAGTGCGCGACTCCGTTTGCGATCTTGGGAGTGGTGGTGACGAACTTACTTTGTCAGCTATCAACGATCGATGAGAAGAGCAACGCGAAGAGCTATGTTTTTCCTTCTCCGGTTTAAAACTCTTCTCCTTCTCCAAGCTTGAGCGTTTTTCCTTTTCTAGAGTTGGCCACTTCTCTTTCTCCATTTTTTTCGCTTATCCTTTTCCGCGAGCTTCCCCATTTTTTCGCGCAACTTCTTTCGCGATTGTGAAACAGTTCGCGACTCCTTCTTGAGCGACTGCGGCGAACGTTGTCTAGGGCTCTTCGCTCGAATTGCGATGTTACCACTCAATCCAGGTTCGGAATTTCTTGGATTTCCATGGTGCGAATTGTGCAATCTGTTCTTTGATCGGTTCTGGTATTTACAATCCAGGGTCGCGATTCTCTTCTGTATGTCCGCTATGATCGCCATATTTTGTTGTTGCGATCTTTCCAGCTTCTCAACCAACTCGTTCATTCTCGATTCCATCTTCCTTCTTATCAAGGCCATCCATGAAGATCGTCAGTTCTCTGATACCAATGTTAGAAACCTGCAATTCTAGTCTAACAGATCACAGAATTGATTCAAGAACTCAAGGCAACTTTTATTACTTAGGCAACAATGAGCCGAAGCCCCCCAAAAGATAGAGCCAATGCTCTGATCCTCCCAGTACAGACTAATGTCTAAAAACAGCCTACTCTTCTTATCAGCTTTCTTCTATTTATAGACCAACAGCTCAACTAACTATAGTTAATAGCTAATAACAGAAAACGCTATTAACCAACTATTCTATTTATTATTATTTCTGAGTAGGTCCCTAACACCACATTTCTTCTTTTCTTAGACAGAGCATCAATAGATCCACAACATGATAAATCATGCACTTCTTGTCAGAGAGGATGGCACAAACAAACCTTATCTTATTAACATGATCACTCTCAAGAATTGAAGCCAACAAGGGATCTTTCTGTATACGAGTCATTCGTTCCTGACATCGTAAAAGTTGCGCTCCTTTTATATGCTTGCTAAAAATGCTGGCTAGTGCAGTGGACTGTTAAACAAAGAATTGGTTAAGGAAGTTGATCAGTTATAGAGTGAATTGTTGTGTAGAATTAACATGAAACCAGAAAAACCTCTTTCAGTTCTTTAATTAGATGCAGAATGATGACAGGAGCACACCAAAACCCTAGTGCTGCACAGCTATGCCTCGCTAGATAGTGGAGACAGGGGGGAAAGTCTTAACGGAACAGCATCCTTGAGAGATTCAAGGAGTTCTTCTGCTAGGGAAACTGCTTGTGGAAACTGTACTAGTTGGTCAGCCAGTTTCTTGATGGATGCATCCTGCATAGGTTATAACTTAAAAGCTTGATCAAACAAAGTAAAGCAAAACAATAATAATGCTCAAGCTGAAACCGACGTGTCAATCTGGCTTCAATTCGGTACAACTTAAATGCAAGAATGTGCATGGTACAGTGGTACACTTGAAATAAATTCCAAAAATCATGAAGAGACAACCAACAAAGCCTATACTTTCTGGATATTGTCAAAGTTGATATTTGATATGTGGGAAAACAAAATAAACGTAATGAATGACAAAAGAAGATTGTATGAGAAGCGTGAACACAGAAAGTGTACAATGTTTTACTACCCAATATCTACTAATAAGACCTCATCTCACAAAAAGTGAAGAAAAGAATTATGGGCATATTCATAGTACATGTCGTGATTTTCTTCCTTATTATAGTGAATATCAGGGGTGGGGTATACATACTTGAGAAAGGTCAGCAATGATAGAGCAAGATGGAGACTCCACGCACATTTTATTGTCAGATCTACCTTCTCCAGAGACAAGATGATTATCCTAATAAGTTCTTAGTCAATATAAAACATCAAGGGAAATATCGGATAGAACTTTGGGAAATCAAATACATCTCAAATCGGAAAAAACAGTACATAGAAATCAAGGATATACTTAAGTACGAAGAGATAATGATCAATGAATCATTTCCAGGACATTGAGAAAGTGAGTGAAAAGAAATTCTAAAGGATTTGACACTAATCAGCATATATGAAACTTGAGACGGTTACCTTTACAACACTAAGACAAGCATCTCCTAAATCAACTCTCCTAACTCCGAAAGCACGAGAACCCATTGCATAAACCAATGGAAGAATCGATTCTTCATTCGCCCAGTAGCCTATTAAAATACTCAAGGCACTCCTTGAATAACAGGAGAAATAGAAAGTAGATAACGTGAAGACATCTAGAAATTTAGAATGGCCACATAACTTTTAGAATACAATAGCAGAAACAATTATTATTACCAATATTAATACTACTATTAGACCCTTATGGAGTGAGAAGAACCTCATCATAGTAGTGGGTTCCATATCTCGAAAAATATCTTCAAATGCGGGATCACCCTTGATCTTATATACAAGGAACTCGGTCAATTTGCGGCCAGCTACACGCATATATCTCAACATCGAGCAGGGGGTAGACTTATCCTGTTATAAAAGAAAGAGTAATATGGTGAGGCGAGAATGCCAACCTAAGTTGATGGCATGATTTAAACTCCAAGTAAATTAAACCAAAATAGTTGATTACATTCAGAAGGATTCTAATGAGGTCACGGTTTCCCCAAATACTTTTCACTTTGTCAAAATGTTCCACTGCACGATTACTTAAGGTATGTTGTGAATTATCGTAAAGGGTTTCAAGAAGTGCTTCTAAATGCTGAACAACTGACTCATCTTTTATTGCTTTATCAGCCAAAGACTTGATGGTATGAACCTGCATAAATGTATGTTTGAGTGAAACAGAACTACTAACCACTAATAAGTAAGTAAATAAACAAAAGAAAAGAACTACTCACATCAAGAAGTTCATCAATCATAAATTCTTCGCCAAGTTCAGACCTCCATCTTGAATCCTAAAAAATCATTAAAATTCAAATAATCATCCAGAAGTTCACGAATCATGGATCGTTCATCAAAGATACAACATAATGCATCCAAAACAAATCCTTTAAAAATATCAGTTGAAGCTTTTAATTAATAATTTAAGAAATCACCATGGACAACATTGAAGAGTACAAAGGAGAGAATTGGCACAACCAATTCAAAAGAACCCTTTGGAATCTTCACATATCTTTCATTGATGGAAAAGATAATACTAATTGGAGAGAAATTATTTTTGCAAGCACCAGGTGCTTTTAATCTAAGAGCGGTCTTCTAATATCAACCTCAGTAACCAGTATAATCGGAAATTCGGAACTTCTTGGACAACCTTTTCAAAAGACCCCAGTGACCTGCTAAACGGGTAAAAACACCTTCTATGCTTCTGCCTTCCTTTTCTGTAACAAATCTAGTCGCCCACTTTTCCCATAACTAAGAAAAAACCAACAAAAGGGTTGGTGTGACCGTGTGACTAAGTAAAGGATGTAAAGCTTCGTCTATGACTTCCAGGAGACATTCAGACATCCCTTTCTTTTGCCTACTCCCCCCAATCCCCCATTGACATTGTTCTCAAGTAGAGAAGGAAGGGTGTGCAGCAGGTACCTCGAGCCCTCTGTCTCACAAATCTATCCAGATGTACGTGTAGTTCACCAGTTCCACCTTGAAACAGTGGAACTATTAAAAGCCACTGTTGCACTGCCAGGAACCAAAGGAAGGTTTCCATCTGCCGCATTATCAGGATGGAGAAGAAACAAGATGACTAATAGCACAACCCTTTGGGTAAAAGAGAACAGCTCGGTGGACGAAGAAATGCTCACAAAGCGAGGGTTCGGGGAAGAATTCCACCACAAAGAACAACCCTTTGACTATCCGCTTCAATTAAATATGGTGCAGCCAAATTAATTCTTCCCACATATGAAATTGAAACAATTGAACAAGATTGTAGAGGATGGCAAAACAGAAGGCAGAGAAAGTGCAGGTGCCAAGGAGGGGGGAAGATAAAAAGTAAGATAGAAAAACGGAAAAAGAAAATAAAACTAAAAAAGATAGAAAAACTAGAAAGCGAACTACAATCTTACATGTGGTGTTGATGATATGCTTAACTTGTTCATGCAGGTTACGGCTCGTTTTATGAAGATATCCCAATAATTCATATTTTGCAAGAATAACCCATATTTCAGATTAATTTGTGAAGAGCGCTGATCGTTGGATATTTCCTATAACATTATAAAATACTTTACCTCGGCGTCACTGTCATGAAATGTTGTAGATTCATAACCAGGGTCACTGTCAAGAGACATCGCAGATTCACAATCAGGATCACTATCAAGAGATGTTGCAAATTTACAATCAGGGTCACTGCCACGCACATCTTTTCCACTCCAATATGCGATCAAAATAATTAAGAGAGTCCTTCAAAAACAAACTTGGATAAGGTTACAAATATCAACATACATATGGTTCAAGAAAGTGTGCATACTTCATGTAATAGAAAATAAGCTTAACTGAAAATTACACAAATCATTAGGTTTCACCATTTAGATTAAACAAGCAGATGGACATGATATTCGATTCTAGCCCCTACAGCATGAATGTGGCACTCATGTAAACTGTAAAGTAATAGCTAAGAAAGCTCAATCTCTTATGCAATAAATCTAATGCATTCATCCGTTGCACAATGTCTTGGTTTTAAAAGGCATGAGGCGGCTTGAGGCGATTTCATCGAGTTACCCGAGACGCGAGGCGCTAGGCGATGAGGCGCTCGCCTCACGGATCTCAGTCACATTTCTTTGGTGAAGTACTTTTTTAGTACTTCTTCATGAAGTACTCTTCTCAAAAATACTTCAAACTATTAAACAATCTTAATAAACATCATAAGAGACAAATATTTATTAAAGACAATAATACAGAAGCAAGAAATATATTTAAAGGCATAATTGCCAAAAGTCAAGTCACAAAACTCAATCTTAAAACTTCACATTATATAGTTTAAAGGCATAATAATTGCCAAAAGTCAAGTCACATTATTATTCTTCTAACACTACAATAGTACAATATATATTATATTGTAATATTACCATATAGTTAATATTACCATTGGCATGTAATATGTAATAAACTAATAAACTATAAAATAATACATATTTAATTAATAAACTATCATGTTAAGAATTAAACTCACGCACACGAAGAACAATAACGAAAAACACGCGAAATTTGGTATCTCAGTTCGCCACGAATAACTACGTCTGGGGGGCGCTACCATGCCAGGAATGTTATTAATATTTTCGGATCAACTAATTACAAGAGAGAAGCTTGTATTTATAGAGAGTAAACCTAGCCCCAAGTCAACCTGGACGCGCGGCCAAAAAGAGAAAAAAAATCCGTACGACCCAAACTGTACGGAACTGTACAGAAAACTTGTTCGTCAAAAACGGACCAAAAATCGATGAATAAAGCTTGGTTATACAGTCTCTAACACCTTAGATATCACACAAATTCAATTCTGTAAAATCAAATACAGACAAATTTGTAAATTTAAATAATTTTATTTAGGGAATAGATTACAACAAAATGGTTTTTTAGGGAATAGACTCAATTGAAGCATAGTGAAAAACCAAATAAATCTAATTATCACTAGGAAATAAGACTTACTTCTTAGATTTGAGTCTCATGTTGAGAATGGACAAATATTGTCAGTAACTACCAGGTCCTTGCAAGGAAGAATGGAGCTACAATAGCTACTAATCTGAATATTATTAAACTGTCAAAGACATAGTTCAATACTTAGAAATCCAAAAAACAGAGGAAATTAAAAATTTATAATAAACAAACACACAACAGACATACAAATCATCTTAAAATAAAGCCTTATTTTAACCTCCATCCACCAAAATTGACCCTCATCAAATAAAGGCGCACCAGATTCACCACTTCACATAATAATTATGAAAATAATATAATGGTGATATTTGTTGTAGTAGAAATTACACACTTTTGGTGTAATTAGTTTATTTTCTTAAATATATGTAATTTGTTTAGATTAGGATTATTCTAAGCTTAAAACAAGTTAAAATCATCCAAAGGATCAAGATTAGACCCCAAAATATCAAGGAAAGTGCAATGGGACAAGATAAAAAGAAGATTGAAAAATATTTCATATGCCCGGTCGGGTACAGGAAATACCCAATCAGGGATTTTGAAGATTTGGCTCATACCCGACCGGGTATGTCCAAAAAAGTGAATTTCCAGAAACTGCCTAAAATACCCGATCGGGACCCTATATACCTGATTGGGTACACAACCCTGCCACTTCCAAACACCTATAAATACACCCCTTTACCTTCACAAGAAAATCACCAATTCTTTTATACTTCTAAGCTCAGTTTAGATAAGTTCTTTCTTTAAACTTATCATCATGTTTAGTCTCCAAATGAGGAGCTAAATTCTTCCATCTTGGTTTTGGCGTTTTGCTACTTTGAAGCTTAATGAATTGTATGTTGTGAGCTATTTTCTTTAATCTTCTTCCTTGAATATTAATTAATCTATCTCTATATTAATGTTGGGGAGTGTTGCTAAGATGACAATTAGTTAACATCTCAACATTAGTTAGAGTAACATATATTTTCTTCAATCTTCTTCCTTGAATATTAATTAATTCCTATTCCTATTTCATATTAATATTTTGAACATTACTTAGAGGATCAAGTAGTTTTGTTTCATTTATTAATTATTACTAGAATCGATCGACGAATATGCTTGTTAATCGTTCGGTCCTTTCACGGTAGTAAACTTGGATTATTAATGCATGCATCACATGGTTAATAATCTAAGGGGAATTAATTATATTGATTAAACAATTAAACCGCTTATGTTGAGGTTATCAATCTCAATCGTTTTCATCTTAAGTTTATTGCTACTATCGGGTTAATATATGGCGCACATTCTATATTAACTTGGTAGTAAGTTTTATTAATGAACGCATCTCGTTATTAATAACTACCCTCAATGAACTGGAAGATAGTTAAAGATATAACTGGGATCTTTCATTAAGTGGATAAAAGCAAAGCCAAGTCTTCATCTCTATTAAGTAAACCACATAAGTCGTTCATCTTAGTGTTAATTAAATTTAATCGAATCAAACTTAAAACCCCAATTGTTACTTATTACTAGTTATATAAAAACAGAAGTATTCATTTCCCTGTGTATATGAACCTTACTTCAATATACTACATATACTTGTTGTATTGAATATTTACTTTGAGTTCACACCAAGACAAAGTGCACGTCAAATTTGGCGCCGTTGCCGGGAAAGACAATAATTTTTCTTTTAATTGTATTTCAAAAAAACAAAAACAAAAACACAAAATTAATTAGTAGGAATATAAAGAATTCTTACTTTTCTATTTTGTAAGCTTTCATGAGTATATGGATACTAACACGTCATCCCTAGAGAGTCAAATTTTCGACTTGGCTTCTCTAATAAAGGGGTTTATTTTATGTTCGAAATCTGAAGATGCCCAGACGTGCTACATTTGCATGTCTCACAGGCATCTTACAAATTTTTGCCCAAAGCTCCAATAAGAATACTTTGAACAAATTGATGATGTTGGTTTCCAAATGAAAATACGTCAAATGAGGTACGATCCCTTCTCCAACACATATAATCCCGGGAGGAGAGATCACCCATACTTGAGTTCTCACTCTAGCATATCCACTGAAGACATGAACCGAGTTCTCACTATCAATGTGACAAATATGCAACGAAATATGGCACAAATCTCGCAAGAAACAAGGTCCACCGAACATAACTTGAAAAATCAAGTGAACCAAATGCCAAGTGTTGTGGATCTATCGGAAGCAAAATATTTTGAGAAACTTCCCTCTCAAATAGAACAGAGTCCTAAACAACAAACTTTTGAAGTCACATTGACAAATGGGAAGGAAATGCAAAAGGAGACCGAAAATTCAGAAGAAGAAAAAGACTTGGTGCTCCAGCTGGTCAAAGAAGAGGATGAGCCGAGCTTCAATGTCAAATTTCCATCCTTGTCATCCTTTGAGGTACCCCCACCGTTTCTGGAAGTTTTGAGGAAAACTCGTAATATTATAAAGGACAATGACATCTTTGAATTCTTCAGCAAATGTGAGAGAGCAAAACCATTTCCATTGACCATGTTAAATGGAAATTTTTTTCCATCACTTTACCAACATGAAGCAATGAAAATTCGGATATTTGATCCTGGAAAGATTTGCAAGTGAAGGATCGAAAACTTGAGTATTCCTTTGAAAGTCCTAGGGGTAAAAATATGAATAAGATGGAGCATTACGATCCAAGTCTGAACGACTGAAATTAAAAAGATGGTGTCGTGCCACGACGTTAAATAAGGCGCTTTTTGGGAGGCAACCCAAATGAGGCATGTCATTGTGTGTTTAATTCTCACCCCCCAAAACAACCCCCTCTTCACATCTTTTCACTTTTATTTTTCCAAACCATCATCCAACTCCACCCCAATCACCCCAAACCTCATAACCATATCTTTCTGTGTTGAAAATCCATCCAAATCCTCCACCAAACCCCACAAAAAAATCATAATCTTGTTCTCATCACTTTCCTCTTACTCCACATACCCTCTAATCCATAAACTCTTGGCAACATTAACCCCTCTCCCAAACCACAACTTTATATCTTAAAAAACAAAAAAAACGATAGTGATAACGAGCACCACAGTGCTCGATTTAACAAAGGGGAGAAGACTTTTCATCATACTTACAATATCTCTTTTATGTTGTACTTTCATTTATAAAAAAAGATACACAAAAAATGTTAAAGACAAAAAAACGTAAAAAAAAAGAAAAAAGAAATGTCAGTTAGGTTGAAAACCCGAACGGGCAACCTAAGCAGGAATGGCAAAAAAATGAGTGAGTTTGGGAGAAAAATGAAAAAGGAATGAGATGCTAGGATAAAAAAAAAGAGGATCCTAGGCAAAATGAGAGAAATGAGAGAAATTGTTTTGTGGTTGATACCATGGCTGCTAATTAGTATGGTATGTTTTCATTTAATGGAAAAACAGATTTTGATATTTGGAAACAAAAAATTAAGTGTGTTTTAATACAGCAAAAAGTTTTCAGATCTGTCACTTTGTATTTTCCTTGAATTAGAAGATACGGCTAAACAAATTGAAATGAACGAAACTGCTTGTTCTACTATTTACTTGAATCTGTCTGATTTTGTGCTTAGGAAAGTGGGTATTGTTGAGTCTGCTAAGGAGTTGTGGGAGAAATTGGATAAGCTCTATTCTGATACCTCTTTGCCCGGAAAGTTGTTTTTACTAGAGAAATTCTTTAGGTTTAGGTTTGACCTGACTAAGGATATAGATGAGAACCTGGATGTGTTTAATAAACTGATACAGAATATCAAACAGGCATGTGATAAACACATATACGATCATACTCCCATAGTATTACTTAATGCCATTCCCGACTTTTATAATGATGTTAAGTTTGCTATTAAGTATGGTAGAGATGAGATTTCGTTAGACATTGTTGTTAATGAGTTAAGGAGTAAGGAATTAGACCTGAAACATGCTAGGGGTAGTACTAGTCAGTCTAGGGACTCCGGTGAGGCTATGTTTGTTAGAGGTAGATCTAAGGGTAGGTCTAAGAACTCTAAGCAAAATGGTCAAAGTAAGAACACTAGTTAGCCTGGGATAAAGAGGAGCAAATCTAGGAAGAGAGTGTGTTACAATTGTGGTAACACTGGCCATTTCATTAAGGATTGCCCTAACACTAAGAAGACCAAGCATGCTAGTGTAGCTGTTGATAAATGTGACCTTGGTGACATATTGATGGTTTGTGGCCATGCTAATTCTGTGCGAAGATCCCTGTCTGAGCAGGAATGGTTGATTGACTCAGGTTGTACCTATCACATGTCCCCCTTTAGAGATTTGTTTTCTACATATGAATTATGTGATAGTGGCTATGTTTCCTTAACTGATAATAAAAGATGCAATGTGCTTGGTGTTGGTGATATATGTCTGAAGTTTTCTTGTGGCTCTGTGTTTACCATTAAGAATGTGAGGCATGTCCCTGATTTGTGTCATAACTTGTTATCTGTTGCTGCTTTGGAGACTAGTGATTTACAGGGAAAGTTGTAACACCCCCAAATTTCCCTCCCAAAAATACCTTTAAATAATGATTTATTCAAAGGAATTTAAAGTTTATTTGAAAACATCAGAATTGTACAGCGGAAATTTAAATGGAAATAAGGGGCGTTACCGCCACACTCAGTTCTCACATAACCGAGTGCACAGGCTAACCACTACCAACAATTAAAATTTTCCATAATTAATTGTTCAACTACAATTCTTTAAAATTAAGGCTAAATTTGTAACACCCCCATTTTCCCTCCCAAAATAATACTTCAAATAATAGATTCATTGATAATAAACTTGATTTATTCTTTCAAAACAGATAAAAAGTTTTGCAGCGGAAATAACACTAATTGGGAAATGGGTGTTACCGCCACATCCGGTCATCTCTTAACCGAATGCACAGGCAATCACAAAACTAAACAAAGTAAAACAAGTGTTCAACATCATTAAATTATAATTCTTGACTAGGTTTGACTAAGGCATCTCTAAACCGCTCTCGGGAATCAAGCAATCATCAGTCAACATAAGCATCATCACCTGCACAAATAAAGTGCAGAAAACAAAACAAAGGAAAGAAAACAAAAATTAGCTTTAGAGCTAAGTAAGTACTACC